TTTCAAAGGTGTTCAATTGTGGCTGCCTTTTGCTGCCAACTCATGTGGGTTTTCTTTTGGTTGCTGGAAAAAACGATTCTTCTGAACCAGGCTTGGTGTAGGAAGGCCTGAGGTTTCAATATGTATCCAATAAGGCTCAAATTTGGATATTTCATAATAGACACCCATAGGAATAACCTTTATGAAGAATGTATTCCCATCTGAGCAGTACAAGTGTACGTTTTGGGCCTTGCAACTTGACTGCTGAAAATAGACTGGAATTGACAATGCATTGCAGTCAGCTTGTGGGCTTGTTTTGGGCTTGATCTTCCCTCCTACAAAATTTGGAAAAATCTGGATCTTCAAACCCTTTGAATTGTCTTTCCAAGCATATGCAGCCCAACTCAAGAAAAAATCGGAAAGACCTTCAAATGTCATTTTTGGCCCAGTAACGCAGATGCTGCCGAATTTGACCTTAAGCTGCCAAAACTTGCATAACTTCCTCTAGGAGACTCGGAATCATGAAACGTAAAATGCTCCAAAAACTAGATTTCTGTATCTTTCTAATGATATAGGGATCAGCATCTGGTTCATCCTGAGCAAGTACAGTTTAATTCGTGAAATTGACTTATCTGCAGACACCATTTTGAGCTAACTTGTCTCCAAAATGCATTTAATGAGTCTCAAGCTTATTACACTGAAATAAACACAAAATTTATTAAAAGCACAAGTTTAACTCAAAAACATAATCAAATCATAAGTTAGAATGGTACAAAATGATATATAAATATGCACCGATCAGTTAATAGTGGCTGTTATTGTGGGCATCCATAACCTATAAACCCATAACGTATGAATTTATAACAATATATATATATGTATGTATGTATGTATTATATCTATCTTATTCTATTTTTATTTGTATATTCATTAGTAAAATGATTCTTGAATGGGTTGTTAGGTGTCAACAAGGCATGCTAGTAGCCTTATCATGACAAGACCCGCCCCGACATCCAACTGATGCCAGGCCCACTTACTAACGATATAGCCTCTTTTCCAAAACAAGGAAAAGAGGGACGAGACTTTCTGCCAAAATTTCGACAGAGTCTCCCCTGAAATACGGACTATACCAAGTTTTTCAACATGACAAAAATGCAGTTAATAATCTCCAAACATCAACATGCACAAAGTACGTTACACACTACAAACAAACAGGCTTCCGGCCTCATAACCAAACATTTTCTAAAACATTCTAGCATTTGAACTCATTTGTAAATTCATACACCCATGGCACTTAATGTAATAGCAATCAGAGAAGATCTTTCTTCTTCCAAAATTCATTTCCCCACTTAGAACAATACAAGCACAGCTCAAACAGTTTATTTTGCGGCTGCACCTAGGTTAAACCCCAGATTACCTACGTGCCCTTTTGTGAGGGATCAAGCCACACGTAGTTCTTAAAACAATAATCACGATTTCAGATGATATACAATTATTTAAAGTAAAACCAATGATTAATTTTAGATTCATCTACGACTTCAAATCCGAAAAGGCACACACTGAACACATTAAAAATTCCTTCCCTTATGTCAGTTCACCCCGCAACCATACCCTATCCAAGGCGTATGTTGCCGAACAACACTTTCCAATCCATGACTTAAACATTCATATGATAGTTTGGCTATGACAAGTCCTACACAGGAATCGTTTGGCTAAACCACACGGAGGAATCCTCAATAATCGTGTGGCCAGGGATAAGCCGTCCAACCGGGGGACTAAGCTCACCAGCACGCACAACAGAATCCTCTATACTCGTGCGCCTGTGACAAGTCCTACGCGTGCAGACTACCCCACTAAGGGTCTACGAAACATCCCCGTCAAGGGTGCCCAAGTTCCGATCATATCCAAACCATAACCATAGTTTCCAAGTATTCATTATCCATCCATTCCAATATCAGTATCCAAAGAGGGAGGGGGGGTTACTTGAGATGTCGTGTCATCGCCAAGCTCCAAAATCTATTTTCATTGACTACTATATAATAAAGATAATGTTCTCAAAATCCAATTTCCAAAACAAATTGTTTCCATATAAGCATAAATATATATAATAAAATAATACCCGTACTTCCTTTTTTAACACCATATTAAAACCATAATCAAGAAAGACATCAAGACTAAATGAGCCCATTTGAATTTATAAATATTCAAAACACTATTCACATACCTAGGAAATATACAACCTCTAAAAATCCCATCAGACAAGATAATAAGATCCAAAACACCATAATTCCTTATAAATAATATTAATAGCACCAATAATAATAGTAATATTAATAAGCATTCCCATAATCACATATTCCATCCTCAGAATTCACTAGATCGAATTAGATCACCCATGACTTCCAACATCCGTTCTCAAACCAATTCCACATACATATAATATGCCAATAAGCAAACCAGACTTCATAACCCTTATTATTCACTTTCCAAGTCGACCTTTTAAAACCCGCACCGATATCCAATGTACTCACAACCCAAACACATAGACATATATTTGAGTGTAAACATTTAATCGGCATTTAATTAGGCCCATATTGACACCACACCCCTCTATCAACCATAACTGAATTATAATATCCATCATCAGAGTAATAATAATAATAATAATAATAATATAAACGGAAAGTCTCATATCGCATGATAACGGCCGAAATTGAACCAATAACCCGCCTTTATAACCTCATTAACCAAAATACCCATTACCAAACAAATCAATTTTCCACCGATATCACTACTACACCCAATATCACCACCAAAACCAAATCAAGTTTCCAACAATGCACCCTAGCCCATACTTCCTAGAAACTTAATGTGTACACACAACCTTGGAAAAGTCCTAAAGCCATTCTAGTACCTTTACAAAGGATGAGATGGTCTCAAAAGACCCGTGGTCGACAGTTGGTCAAACTTCTCATTTTTGGTCAACCGGGCCCACAGGGCCCATGACCTCCGATTTCCGATTCGAAAGTTTCTATAGGTTCCACAAGGTTATACATGTCTTGCAAGTTTGGTCTGAATCGAACGGTCGGATTGCTCGCGATCGGACGGTTACCATTTAACCTAATCTTCGAATCATTGAATCAGGGCATCCGGGGCTCAAATTCACAATCTGCGAATTCATACACAATCCTAGAGATGCCTAGATCAACATATTTGAAAATGGAGTCAATCCAACTGTTCGAACATATCGAACCCGAATAATGCCAAATATGCGTAATCCGATCGACAGTAAG